CATCTTCGAATTGATTGGAATGTTCTGATATTTCGACTTGTTTAATCTGTTGACACTTTTGACATAGATGTGTGTGCGTATAGAATCTTTTTAAGGCTCCCGTGATTCGTGTTTTGGGCCCCCTCACTGCGATCAGACCTTCGTGGTTAAACAGAGCTCTGGAAGGCGGGTAGGTTGTTGGCATTCTCCTATAGAAAGTGCCCACTGTGTGCCTCTGTATGCGCTTTTTATTCCCAGCTTGCACAATCATAAAACTCACATTTTCGCACTCTGGTTTTCGTTGTTTTCTTGATTCGGCTCTCTGGTTTCACCGATGATGATGATATTGTCATCATCATCACTCATTGTTTGTCATTTTTCCCTTTCCAGTCGTATTCGTATACATTCCATCCGGCTATCAGCCGGTACCGCGGGTCATCTCGGTGGTGGTCTAATTGACNCACTCCGTGTCGGTGTTTCATACGATGATTTACCCACGGATCGGAGAAGTTTGAAAAATTTACGAACTGAACTCCTGTTTCACGAGTACCGGTTTCTTGCTGCGAGCGCTTGGTTTCAACGCAACCAGAACCCAGATGGAACGTGGGCCATACCGGTTGCTCGAAATTTTCGCGGCCGAATTCCAATCAAACCAGGTTGGCCTTCGGCTATGGGACAGGGTCAGTTTTCCCCCTATAGCATGCCCCATTAGCCCTTGCATCCGAACCTCTTTCGGTAATTGCTCCGAACGTTTTTCCATCCTCCTTGTTATACTGTCTGCTTTAAAAGTAGCTTTCTCCTCGCCTGTTCATTGATTGCACTCAAATGATTATTTTATCATCTCAGTGGTGGTGGTAGTAGTGGTGTCGCAGTGGTTTAGTCGCTGTCACCGGCGTGCTTTGGATCCTGTGGTCCGAGATTCGAACCGTGCCACCACCATCCAGCCTTGGCGATAAGCAGCTTTGCTGTCGTCTGACTCACCTAACCATGCCTAACCTATCGGGCTCTTGCGTGGTTCTCCCGGGGCGTAGGTTGCCAGTTTCCATGACTGAACAATAGGTCTTCGCGGCTTTGGGTTCAATCCCGTCTGCGCACATTTGTGTGATGTGTGTAATAAAAATTAGAAAACGTCACGATCCGCATACCTTACAGTGACTTCACTTATGCTGATACCAATTTTCTGGCCAGTCTTCGACTGACAGTTCAGTTGCAATTTGTACAACTGTTAACGATGCACTTTCGTGCGCCGGTTTGGGTGTCTCCAACCACTGGTAACATCATCCCGAATTTCCCATCCAGCGAGCTTAACAGGACCTATGTGACCAATCCTCCGGGTTAGGATTTTCATACCCAGGCCAAGCCTTATCTTGATCACCCTTCACTTTTTTTACCACCCACTATCAGTGCTGCGTAGACTGTGGTGCTCAACCAATGGGTAATTTTCTGATTCGTATGGCGGAACTAGCCGAGCTGCTGCTGCATACAAAGCTTGTCCAGTTGCTCCATCACTTCCACAGTTAGAGTGAGACTGGGTGCTGGACCAACCGAATGCTGTAGGAACATTTTGCACTTTGAAGGTGTACCGGACTGTCGTCCGGTGGTTGAGTAACTCGTAGATACGAACCCCAAGTTCGTTTCCAGATAACGAAAAGTGAGTAATCTACGTGTACTATAAGCAGACAAATATGTACAAAAACAAGCACCATACCTCAAATTGTGGGCCAATCCGGTCTCTACGGTACAAGAACAAAATACAAAGCGGATCAAGGCGCAGAACAAAGCACCTGCGGAGCGGTCACCAAAAGGAATGCAAACTACGCACAGAAACGGGACAATTTAAGGGATAGAAACACCAATCGTAAGTGCTCGATAATGAAGCGCAGTCAATGCACAGCACACAAACGGCTCACGGGATCCTATGAAACAAAGCAGGCCGCTAAGCAAATGAAGCGAATGATCAAATATGAAGGTGAACATAAAGAGGACGGGATGATAATGAACTAGAACCAAACGTGGATGGGAGAACGGATCCAGGGTAATTCGTACGAAATGATGCACGAGAATGGCCAGCGTGGAGTAGCGAGAGTTCAAGGACAATAAGGGTAGATGACGCACAAATGAATGGGACGAGGAACGCTTAGAGGCGGTATGTGAACAATAACAACAAAGCTCAAAGTATGTCTGCGGACGAAATCGGGCATTATGATGGGGAAAGTACATTCGAAGGTCCTCTGTGTAATAGGTCACATGGGTGCACAGTTAATCGAACCGGAGCAAAACCTGTGGCGTGATTAATTTTTCCAATCAAGTCGATACACAAGGTGCAAAACCCGTACCAAACATGGCTACACTGGTACTCAAGCTATCCAGAATAGTTTGCAACGTACCTGGATCTTCACTAAGAGATACACACAAATGACACGTACTTTGCACCACACACAATACTGAGCTCGATCAAATGTTTCTCAATGGTATTGTGATATTTTCTTTGCAGGTGCAGGCTAAAATCTGATCGCTGCATAATCTAACTTCCTCTTCCAAACACTTTACACTCCTTTCAGGTCAAGTCAAGGAATCGCTTCATACACCTCGATGAATATTCAGCAACCACATGACTACCGTGTGTCGACAATTAAAAAAATCGAAATGTAATGTAATGTAAACGAAGTGAAACGCACAGCAACAACAAAAAACTAACGGCATATCCCGGTGTTTATGATTGATTCAGTTTAGCATTTTGGGCAGATTTTCAGCACCTTTCTTTCACGGATACGACAGTAAAGTATTGCTGCAACGCGTTTTTTGTTTTTTCTGCCCGACTGAATATCAATCCGTTCACGTGAAGTGGTAACCTCGTGGCTGTCTCAAGGAAGCACTGGAATAACCAGTGGCAAGATTCCCGCTCATGTGCTTTGTGTATGGTCATCCAATGCATTTAGCTCACGCCTCCATAGCCTTCCATCAAACTTTTCGATTAATTTCGAACCCAAAGCT